CAGTGAGAGATAAACGCTCAAATGATGTGACTGGACAGGCTTTGTGGTTTTATTATTATTATTAGTAGTAGTAGTAGTATTGTTGTTGTTTTAATATTATTATTATTATTATTACTATTATTATTATTATTATAAAAACTGTAAATTGATTAAAAAACTACATTATTTCTACTAAAAACAACAGTCTTAAATAATATGTGGAAAACAAACTGCAATATAAAATGAAAACGACTTGAAAGATATTTATAGTTTTTAATTTTTTTTTTGCTTGTTTTTATTTTTGTTTAAAGGTTTTACATCTTTTATAATTTATTTGGTTGTTAGTATCTGATCTAATTATTACATGAAGTATTAATTTGATGAAATTATTTTCAGACCAAATTTGGTACAAACTGAAGATTTTGTTTTTCATACTAAAATATAAAATTGATGTTACAACATTTTTCTTCTAAACGTGTAATATAAAAAAAGCTTAAATTTTTATTAAAATACAAAATGAAAAAAAGTTACAACATTTTTCTAATAAAATATTAAATTAAAAATATTAAATTACTTGTTTGTTTACTTAATAACAACAGTTAAAAACTGTTCGTGTCATAAAGGTGCTGCATACAAACACACAGACTGGCTGATGATCAAACAGACTGTCCATCCTCAGAATGGTCAGGGTTTTACTGACTGTTGCAGCTGCTTTTTCAGCTTCAGTGTCTTGAGCCTTCTTCAGATTTCAGATTGTGGAGAAACAGAATCTAAATGTCTGATGGCTCTTTGCTCAGATACTCAGACAGCAGGTTGTGGTCGCTCAAAACTTCCTGCTCAGTGTATAAATTCTCCACAACATGTTCATCACAAAATCATCCAGCGATTCTTTAAAGCCAAAGTCCAGCGCAGAACCTCTCTGATCTGGACTTCACAAGCAGTAAGGAGAGAAGCATTTCTGCTTTAACAGGTCATCCAGAATCCGGGCTGGTTCCCCATCCATACATGTGTGTTTCCTGTGTGATAGATGATTTGTTTCGCGTTCTGGACACTCTATCACCCTATTCTCTCTCAGACAGCAGAACTTCGCAGTTTTAGTCATGCTGAGGACTAAGTTGTTCTGTCCTCATCCTCAAGGCCTCATTCAGTCAAGTTAAATTAATCTTCAGTCTTTTCGAACTATTTGGCCACATGAAATACGGAATTCCATGCTTGTGCAGATTATCTTGTATGAATGCATGGTAGCACAATTTACTAAAAGAGTTCCTGACTGACCGTCGCTCTCAGAGTCTGGAGAATCCATGATGTTCACAAACGCTTTGCAGGAACAATGCAGACCCAGGCAAACCTGTGACTTTCAGCAATGAACCACAGACTAGAGAGACATTCAGTAAAGTTACTGTGTAACATCTGTGTGTATGTGGTGTGTTGAGGTCTCCAACTGGACACTCTAAAATCTACAACAGTACTAAAGACAGTTTTTACAGCAGAAACCTGAGTCTCATTCTTGCCTGCAGGAAATTCTGGGCATTTAAACATCAGCGATTATATTTCTGCTTCAGTGATTATAGTGAGGTTGTGGTTATTTTTGAGCTTTCCATTTCCATTTTTGAGCTTAAACAAACACTTTCTGATGAGCTTTTTAAGAAAATGTATTTTAGGTCTGTTCAGTTAGCTGTTGGACTGGTTGCACAGGCTGTTAATGAGAGATGGTACAATGTGGCACATCCACTTATGAAAGCAGTGCATTTTTCAGCCCAGTGAATTGACCAAGCACAGGCTGTCTAAGGTCTTGGGGTTGTTTCTTAACTCATCTCTCTTTGAAGCCTTTTTGCAGGCATCCTTCTGGGAACCTTGTTCGGAAATATTCCATAAAGTACCAGAAGATTTTAAATTAAAATCTGGCTGCATCTGTCACAAAGCTAAAGCTGGGCAGTGTCTCGATCTTCCAGCAGGAAAATAATCCAGAACATACATAAAAATCCACACACAAAAGGTTCAGCAACCACAGAATCTAGCTTTTACCACAGACCAAAGCCCCACTGAAAACCTGTAACGTGAGCTAACGAGGGGAGTTACAACACCTAGAACTAGGACCCTGAGGGATGGTTTCAGATTGCTTGCTCTGCATTCTCCAATCTTATTAAGCAGTATAGGAGAAGAGTACCAGTGCTGGGTGACAATAATTTCTTTAAAATAAAATGAATTTTATTAAAATAAAAAAAACTTGTATCTCATCTGTCTCTTTTGAAAACAATGAAGTTTCTCTGATACAACATGGTAAAAAGCTATTATACACTAAAACAACAAAGTGAAATAGTGAAGTAATAATGAAACTCTGGAAGTGTCACTGTAGAGGTCATCTTTATGTCCTATGAGCTCTAAAATCTCCTTATACAGATGCAGACACTTCATATGAGTAACTATATCAATTCTACAGTACAGTAAACTTGAGGTTTGTGTTTAGTTTTCTACACAGGATGAATGTTTACAGTAAGCTTTAGCATGATGCTAACTGTTCTTACCTTTGCTGTTTTCATAGTCATATTGCTGCTGGAGGTGAAATATGTCCACGTTATAGATTTCAGAGTGAAATTCTAGTCTAGTTTCACTTTAATGTTCTTTACAGCTGCTGTGTTTGATCGTCTAACCTACCCTACTGGTTTAAGAGTTTCCAAAACAACTTCCTCAAACCCTCCCAAAATATTCCACATTCCTACTTTATACAGACAACAAAAAACAGAATCTCGTTCACTCCAGTGGGAAATTATTAAATTTCAGCGCTTGTTTTTCCTTTTAGAGTTTAGAGTGAGTTTGTGGTTCTTTTTTGTGATTTGAAGACTGTCTGTGACTATTATGATCATAAACAAACATTTTCTGTGGAGTTATTTTCATGACGAAGCAGTTGTGCTGAAGGTGTGTTCAGCTGTGTGGGTTTCTTGTACAGGCTGCTCGGTTCAAGAAGCAGGAGAGAGGTGAAGTGGATGGCGTGACTGCACACGCCACTTATGCAAACAGGAACTACAACATTTTTTCTTCGCATTGATTTGAACAGGCACACTGTAGATACAGACATTGACCGTAAATAAATACGTTTTTTTTCTATATTTTTCATGATAAGAGAATATACTTGTAAAATACAAGAAAATCAGCTTTTTCAACAAATCTGCTGTAAAAATACAGTCAAAGTCTGTTATTTTAAATTAGAAGAATCCATTTTTTTTTTAGCATGGTTGTACCATTTCGTGGTGAGCAAAGTGATTTAGTGCAAGCTGACAGGAGGTTTAGCTGAGTTGACTAAGTGTCCGGATTTAACATTATCAAAACACAGCTGAAGACTTAACCACAGAGTCGCCAGGGTCGCTGTTTCGCCGCCAAATTGGGCTCGTTTGAAAGCGACTGATGACAGACAGAAAATGAACGGCCTTATTAGCATTTAAACGAATCGTCATAGGAGTGTTTGAACAGCTGTAAACCCGGACAGAGAGCGCAGACAGAGACAGGTCGCGGTTTTCCCCCAAATTGGATTCGAGCTATTCTGGTGCTGCTATATGTTTTCATTCCAGCACAGTCCCACTTTTGCTACTCAGGCTTTAGTAGGAACTTCAGTGTTTGTAAAGAAGCCATTTGTTGAGTTCCTCTTTAGAGTCCGTCTAATGAGCATGTCTGCTATACACCATACACTGATTTAATATAGTTAATAAACAAGCATTTATAGTTTAAAGACTGAATGCTTTTATTTTAATTGACTGAATAAATTTTCTAAATATATTCCCCTAAATATATAATAAGTAACTGTATTTCTGATTCTACTTGTTTATTCAACTGAACTCAGTCAAACAACTAAGCATGTTTGAGCTTCTGCTTTTTTGGAACGAAAACCTGCAGCCACACCGGCCCTTTGCAGAGAAGACTGGACACTCCACCACTTTGGTTCATTTTCAGTCATTTGTGATTTTATTTGTACACACACACACACACACACACACACACACACACACACACACACACACATATCACAGCAGCTTTTTTGTAGTGTTTTAATTATTTTTTCTCCACAAATATGAATTCACAGGAATCCCAAAGGTGATGTTTAAGCTTGAGTGGAAATATCATATCATATTAGTGAATATAGAGCTCTGATGTGCGAGACGCTTAAATTTTAGGGATTTAATTCAGTTCATTTTCAGCTTCATACTGTACTGATGCTGTACAACCTATAGTACTAAACAATCTTACCACTAAAAATGTGCATTTTCGGGAGAGTAATTTGCATATACAAATATATTTTTTCACATTCACAAAACAATTTAATATTCATCATATCTACAGTGTAGTTTATAAATCATCTTTAATAATCATTCAGCACTCCTGCTCTCTTCTCTGTCACTCCAGGCTCTCTCTCCTCTTCTCTGTGTGTTTCTCTCTGAACAGCTGATATCTGATTATCTCACTCAGCTGCTCCATGTAATGCAGCAGCGACTGGAGCTGCTCACAGAACCTCCACTTCTAACGTGCTGCTCCACATTCACTGCAGTCCTAAGAGCTGATCCTGAATCAGTGATTAAAGGCAGTAAGTGAAGCAGTCTGATCTCTGCTCTCTCTGCATTTCAAAAAGTACTTAAGACTATTTAGGTTTGTAAACTATATTTGTATTCAAACAAAATTGAGAAATCAAGGCTAAGAATTCACACATTAAAAACTAGCATGTCATGTAACCTAAAAAATATATTAAAAATGAACATGATGGCAAACAGACTAAAGGCCACAGCCTTTGAGGTGGGCGTAGATATTATAGATTTAGATTTTCAATATTTTTTACTGATTCTGTATTGATAATATTGTTATAAAGAACTTTACGTAATGTAATGTATCTTGAGGTATGTTCTGTATCAAACATTTTCAGTTTTATATGTACCCTAAATGGGTAATGGATTCAAACTGTAACACTCAAACTAAAACCATACACTGAATATTATCATACGTTTATTTGTTTTTATTGAGTTAAAGGGTAAATTGATTTTAATTAAAAAAGATTTAAACTGCACATTAATGTTTTGATATAATTTCAATATGTGTATCGAGTCTCACTGCTGAGGGAAAAATTCACTCATTCTGAGCTCCCCTTCTTTATCAGCTGCTACTGTTTGTTAAATCATTACATCTGCTATGAAAGTCAGTCAGGAGCTCTCACTGATCTGACTGAGTGATTATAACTGGATCTCTACCCATCCACCAAAAGAGCCACTGTGTTAACCTGCTAAACAGTCCTCTAGTGTCCTCCTGATGATCATCTCCTCCTGCTGTGACTCCCTCTCTGACTCCCTCTCTGAGTCTCCACCTCAGTGTTTCTATCTCTCTCTCATTTTCATCCATCCTACAATCAAAATCTTTCTGTGTCTTTGTCATGAGTTCCCATATTCTCTGCTGGAGTTCAGGCAGGATGATCTTCATGAGGTTCCTCTCTGCCTCCATCTTGGCCTCTCTTTCATACGTCTCCCTGATCTCCTCCATCTCCTGTCTGTGTCTCTCCTCCATCTCTCTCTTCTCCTTTTCAGTCTCTTCTTTCAGTCTCTCCAGCTCCAACTGAACCTCATTCCTTCGCTGAATCTCTCTCTCCAGCTCTCTCTCCAGCTCTACCCTTCTCTTCTCATCTCTTTCCTCTTTGAACTCTCCTTCTAGTTTAGTTATTCGCTCTTCATGCTGAGTTATTTGTTCATGACATTTAGCTTTAAATTCTTCAAACTTCTTTGTAATCTCCTGGACACATCTCTCCAGTTTCTCTCTAGTTTCTCTTTCTTGTCTCTCTCTCATCTCCTCTCTTTCTCTCACAATTCTTCTCTCTATCTCTCTGATCTGAGATTGTGTCTCCAGGTAGATCTCACTGCTGTAGAATTTCTCTCTGTTTCCCTTCACCATCTTCTCTATCTTGTCCAGCAGCTCTGAGGTTTGAGAACCATCTCCACTCTCCTTAATGCTGAGACAGTGAAACCTGTTCCCACATTTCTCTACAAGTCTCTGGACCTCCTGGTTTCCTGACTGGATAAACTCTTCAATGTTCTTCTCTTGGACTTCATCAGTAACAGTGAAAAGGATCATGGTGTTCCTCCAACATCTCTCTCCAAAGATCTCCTCCATTTTCTCCAGCATGCCTCTCTCCTCTCCTGTAGACTGCTTCACTGGTATGACTAGGAGGAAGGCGTGGGGTCCTGGGGCAGACAGATGGACACAGAGTCCCACGTCCTCTCTCAGCTCCTCCAGAGAGAGTCCAGGACCGAACCAGTCAGAAGTGTCCACCACAGTCACCTGCCTCCCAGCCACCTCCCCTGGTCTGCTCTCACTCTGCTGCCTCACTGTAGACGCTCCAGCCTGGCTCCTCTCCTCTCTGCCCAGGATGGTGTTTCCTGCTGCTCTCTTCCCACATCCAGTCCTCCCCAGCAGCACCAGCCTGAGCTCTGCTACAGCAACTGACTCTGGAGAGGCTGAAGTAGAGGATTCTCCCATCACTGTGAATCAACAGGGAATTATGAAATGATGTTACTGTATGTGGATATTATTCTCTGAATATTTATAAAATAAACATATGAAAGTGTAATTATTTACTATCTGGAGGAACTCTTTCAATACTGTTTCTTCTCCTGAGTGGTGCTGCTGAGTCTGGAGTCTCTCCACTGACTATAAAACAGAAGAATCAGACATAATGGAGATTAAATATAGTGTGTAGACAGTATAAATTATGAAATTCACATATAGGTTATACTGTTCCTGCATAATATTTTGATGTTATCACTAAATTCTTATAAAACTGCTCATCATAAAACAATTGACGTTTTTTGTTTAAATTCTTATTAAATACACATTTTCTGAAGTAACACCTCCAGTGTGTGGTTCGTGTTTCATAGTGATATATGTTGTAACTTTATGCAACCTTAGGATTTACTTACAGTCTGGAGGTATAAACTCTTTGCTGTTTCTCCTCCTGGCTGGAGCTGCTGAGTCTGGATCTGTTCTCTCCTGCAGCTGCTTGTTTCTCTCCTCTAGAAGTCTGTCTTTCTCCTCAACCTGCTTGTCTCTTTCCATTAGCTGTGTGTTTCTCTCACTTAGAAGTCTCTCCTTCTCTTCAAGCTGTTTGTCTTTTTCACTCACTTCAGTTTTCTGTTGTTCCAGTAGGATCATCATCTCCTGTAGTTTGCTGCTCTTGTCCTGCAGTTCCTTTCTCAGAGTCTCCAGCTGCTTTTTACTGCTTTCCTCCTCTTTCACTGTGATCTCCAGTAGAGTCTCTTTATCTCTCAGCAGTTTGATCTGATTCTCCAGTTGTGAGTCTTTATCTTTAAGCTGTTTATTAACACTGTCTAATCTTTCATTAGTTTCCTTTAATAATGAATCTCTCTTATCAACAGTCTCTAAATGTTCTTTAATAATAATGTTTTTATCTTTCAGTTCTTGTTTTGTCTCTTTTAATTCTTCATCTTTCTCCACAAGTCTTTTCTCCATTTCTTCCATTTGTATTCTATGACTCTCTATTGTCTTTGTTGTTTGTCTCAGTTCATCTTGTGTCTCTGTGAGAAGTTTGTCTTTCTCTTCTAAAATCTTCTCCTTCATCTGGAGTGTTGTTGTATTTTCTGTCAGAAGTCTGTCTTTCTGCTCCACTTGTTTTTCTCTCTCCATAGCTGCTGTCTCTCAAAGAATGTGTTTTGTTTCTTTGAGCTGCTTGGTCTTTTCAGTTAAATCTGTAAGAAAAAATTAATTCAGTCTTTCTCAATTCACAATGTGCCGAGTTGACAGATACACAGTACTGAGATTTAACAGCAGTGAGTTTATTAGCTGGTAATAAATCGTTAAAATGGAGTTGACTTCATCTTTCTCTTATAAAAGTCTGAAAAAAATCAACTGGAATATAAAGAGTCAAATACTTTAAAAATATATATATATATATATATATATATATATATATATTTGTAGAGAATAACAACAAATACACTACCAGTCAAACCTTTAGACACGGCTACTATTTTTCCTTATTTTTACTATTTTCTATATTATGGACTCAAAGTGAAGTAATATATAGAATCATGAAGAGACTGAAAATGTGTTAAACACACCAAAAATATCTATATTTATAAAATTATCTTACAGCCTGGAAATTATCAAGAATTAAAATGAGGAAATTAATGGTAGAGACTAATTAAGGACAATTACACTGCCAGCCAAAATTTGGCAAACTTACTGAAAGAATGTTTTTCCTTTATTTATACTAATTTCCACATTTTACAATCATAGTGAAATCATCAAAACTATAAAATAATTTTAAATTATACAGCGACTTAAAAAGTGTAAACAAATCAAAAATATTTTCTTAGTTTAGATTTTTTTTATTTCCCTACTTTGCCTTGTCGCTTTACACACTCTCGACATTCTCTCAATCAAGAGTCAGTTTAAACACCCTGCACAGTTTTTTAATATCTGTGAAAAATTAATATTTCCATAGACAATTTTATATGTTACAACATTAAAGGAGTGTTTTGTATTTTCTCTTTTCTCTGTCGCCTTTTACCATTCTGCCCTGTGGGCGTGGACCCAGCAGATTGACCGATATCCTCTGCATCAAATGTAATCAGAAACATAGTCAGTACGGCGCAGGCTGTAAATCAGATCATCAACACAGTCTTAACTGTATAAACATGAAGAGGGAGATTCTGAAGAGGAACCTGTTAATCACAGTCTTGTAGGAGCTCCTCAGTGGTACCATTACAGACTGATTTTAGTTTGTTAGGCAGCTAATTGAAGGTTTAGCATTTCAACTGTGGTGCTAACACAGAGCTGAGCTCAGATTCTTTTTTGCCAGCTTGTTGTTTGAATTCTCCCACATTGCACCATTTAAAGTGGAACAGGAAACTCTGAACAAGAAGCTGGTGAAAGGAGGTCAACTTCAGTCTCGTACTGTTAACTGTACATGTGTAACTCCAACGTGTAGAGACTGACTGTTCTCCCTCCTGCATCCAAAACCTGACCATTTGTAAATGAGTGTCATCCCCAAGTAGATTTAATGTTACGTCAGGTAGAGAGATGCGGAGCGTGTGAAGTGTGGGAAGGTCAGTCGATTGCAGAGCTCATTAACATGCAATACAAGGTAGCTTATGATTCCCAATTGTCAATTAGTGTTGTCTGTGACATCTAAATCTAAAATAAAGTCTAATCCCAAAACAGTGGTTAGGGGGCAGTATTCCAAAAAATAAACATTGGGAGGTCATTTTTATGCACTCTGCAGTGCCATATAAATGATGGACTGAAGCAGAAGTATGAAGATAATCACATACTTCCTGCTAATATAACATTTTGAGTAAGGAGGAAAAGTACTGTGCTGGGCCTTTAAGATGTGCTGGGCCAAAAACATGACTGCGGAACACTAGAGGGCGCCAATGAGTAAGTCCTTAATAAATCAGGAGTGAATGGAGCCAAATGGCTAAAAATGAAAAATCAATAACAGCAGTGTTGAAGCTTTTCATCCTATTATACGTTTAGAAAACAAGAGCATTTATATGTAAAAATACTAATTATTGTTTTTACCAATTATTGTTTTTACCATTTGTAAAAACTCCATAAAAACCCATTCATTTTGGACTGGCTCAGGAGCGCAAGACAGACCCACAAGACACTGAGTGGCAGCTCTCCTCACTGCAGGTTCTCTGCTCCTGGATGATTTTCCAGCAGGACTGAAAACTCACACACAGGCCTACATGCTAAACATCTGACTGGTAGTGAATGTTAATAATTATTCAATTACAGTAATTTAATTAATTTACCTTAATAAAGACTAAGATTGATGAGGTTAAACCTGAAAACTCACCAGTCGTCTGTGATGAAATGAGAGTTGTCAGGGTTTCAGTTTCAGTCTGTAGGTCTGAATTCTGTTGTGCTGAAATGATAAAGACAGAATATTAATTTATCAGTCAGATATTTTACAATCAGTCTGTGTCTTAAATTCTACCTGTGTGGTTTAAGTTGTTGTTCTTTCTCTTCTAAACTCTTTCTGCTGACGGGTGAGTTCAGTTTTCTGTGTTCCAGTAGGATCATCATCTCCTGTAGTTTGCTGCTCTTGTCCTGCAGTTCCTTTCTCTGAGTCTCCAGCTGCTTTTTACTGCTTTCCTCCTCTTTCACTGTGATCTCCAGTAGAGTCTCTTTCTCTCTCAGCAGTTTGATCTGATTCTCCAGTTGTGAGTCTTTATCTTTAAGCTGTTTATTAACACTTTCTAATCTTTCATTAGTTTCCTTTAATAATGAATCTCTCTTATCAACAGTCTCTAAATGTTCTTTAATAATCGTGTTTTTATCTTTCAGTTCTTGTTTTGTCTCTTTTAATTCTTCATCTTTCTCCACAAGTCTTTTCTCCATTTCTTCCATTTGTATTCTATGATTCTCTAATGTCTTTGTTGTTTGTCTCAGTTCATCTTGTGTCTCTGTGAGAAGTTTGTCTTTCTCTTCTAAAATCTTCTCCTTCATCTGAAGTGTTGTTGTATTTTCTGTCAGAAGTCTGTCTTTCTCCTCCACTTGTTTTTCTCTCTCCATTAGCTGTCTGTCTCTCTCAGAGAGAATGTGTTTTGTTTCTTTGAGCTGTTTAGTCTTTTCAGTTAAATCTGTAAGAAGATATGAATTAAATCTTTCTGACTTCACAATTTTCCTAGTTCACAGACAAACAGAACTGAAATTTAACAACAGCGTGAGTTTATTAGCTGGTAAGGAAACAATAATTTGGAATAGATTTGATCAAAATTTAGATTTGAAAAAAAAAATGGAATAAGAAGAGTCAAATACATAAATGAGGAAAGTATTCATGGAGATTAATTAATTACTATTGCACCATAAGTCAAACTTTAGAAAATCGCCTTCTTGTAGTTTTCCTTATTTTTCTAATTTTCTCATAATAAAGCAACACATATAGAAAAATCCAGAGATCAAAAGTGTTAAACAAATCAAAAATATCCTGTATTTAAAAAACATTTTATAGCCTGGATATAATCAAGAGTTAAAATAAGGAAATTAATGGTAGAGATTAATTAATGACAATTACACTACCAGCCAGAAGTTTAGACAAAGTTACTTACAGAATGTTTTTCCTTATTCATGCTATTTTAAAACCTCAAAACTAGAAAATAACATGTTAAGAATAATACAGACACCAAAAATTGTAAACAAATCTATTTCTCTACTTTGCCTTGTTGCCTCTTTACACACTCTTGACATTCTCTCAAGCCAGTGTGAGTGTAAAAGTCCTGCAACGTTGTTTTTTTAAAATCTGTGAAAAATAATATTTCTGTAAACAATTTAATATATTTTAGTTATTTTTAATTTTTTCCCCAAAAATGACATCAAAGGAGTGTTTTGTGTTTTCTTTTTTCTCTGTCGCCTTTTACCATTCTGCTGTGTGGGCGTGGACCCAGCAGACTGACTGATATCCTCTGCATCAAGTGTAATCAGAATCATAGTCAGTACAGCGCGGGCTGGAAATCAGATCATCAACATGGTCTTACTTCTATAAACCTGAAGAGGGAGATTCTGAAGAGGAACCTGTTAATCACAGTCTTGTAGGAGCTCCTCAGTGGTACCATTACAGACTGATTTTAGTTTGTTAGGCAGCTAATTGAAGATTTAGCATTTCAACTGTGGTGCTAACACAGAGCTGAGCTCAGATTCTTACTTGCCACCTTTTAGTTTGAATTCTCCCACATTGCACCGTTTAAAGTGGAACAGGAAACTCTGAAGAAGAAGCTGGTGAAAGGAGGTCAACTTCAGTCTCGTACTGTTAACTGTAAATGTGTTACTCCAACGTGTAGAGACTGACTGTTCTCCCTCCTGCATCCAAAACCTGACCATTTGTAAATGAGTGTCATCCCCAAGTAGATTTAATGTTACGTCAGGTAGAGAGATGTGGAGCGTGTGAAGTGTGGGAAGGTCAGTCAATTGCAGAGCTCATGAATATGCAATACAAGATAGCTTATGATTCCCAATTGTCAACTAGAGTTGTCTGTGACATCTAAGATCACGCCAAATAAAGTCTAATCCCAAAACAGTGGTTAGGGGGCAGTATTCCAAAAAATAAACATTGGGAGGTCATTTTTATGCACTCTGCAGTGCCATATAAATGATGGACTGAAGCAGAAGTATGAAGATAATCACATACTTCCTGCTAATATAACATTTTGAGTAAGGAGGAAAAGTACTGTGCTGGGCCTTTAAGATGTGCTGGGCCAAAAACATGACTGCGGAACACTAGAGGGCGCCCACGAGTGAGTCCTCAATAAATCAGGAGTGAATGGAGCCAAATGGCCAAAAATGAAAGATCAATAACAGCAGTGTTGAAGCTTTTCATCCTATTATATGTTTAGAAAACAAGAGCATTTATATATAAAAATTATTAATTATTGTTTTTACCAATTATTGTTTTTACCATTTGTAAAAACTCCATAAAAACCCATTCATTTTGGACTGGCTCAGAAGCGCAAGACAGACCCACAAGACACTGAGTGGCAGCTCTCCTCACTACAGGTTCTCTGCTCCTGGATGATTTTCCAGCAGGACTGAAGACTCACACACAGGCCTACATGCTAAACATCTGACTGGTAGTGAATGTTAATAATTATTCAATTACAGTAATTTAATTAATTTACCTTAATAAAGACTAAGATTGATGAGGTTAAACCTGAAACTCACCAGTCGTCTGTGATGAAATGAGAGTTGTCAGGGTTTCAGTTTCAGTCTGTAGGTCTGAATTCTGTTGTGCTGAAATGATAAAGACAGAATATTAATTTATCAGTCAGATATTTTACAATCAGTCTGTGTCTTAAATTCTTACCTGTGTGTTTAAGTTGTTGTTCTTTCTCTTCTAACTCTTTCTGCTGACAGGTGAGTTCAGTTTTCTGTTGTTCCAGTAGGATCATCATCTCCTGTAGTTTGCTGCTCTTGTCCTGCAGCTCCTTTCTCAGAGTCTCCAGCTTCTTTTTACTGCTTTCCTCCTCTTTCACTGTGATCTCCAGTAGAGTCTCTTTCTCTCTCAGCAGTTTGATCTGATTCTCCAGTTGTGAGTCTTTATCTTTAAGCTGTTTATTAACACTTTCTAATCTTTCATTAGTTTCCTTTAATAATGAATCTCTCTTATCAACTGTCTCTAAATGTTCTTTTATAATCGTGTTTTTTTCTTTCAGTTTTATGTTTTTATCTTTCAGTTCTATGGTTTTCTGTCTCTTTTATTCTCAGGCTTTCTTCTCCACAAGTCTTTTCTCCATCCTCCCCATCGTCGTTTTTCTGTGATTCTCCTCTAATTTCTTTCGTTTGTCTGCTTCAGTCACATCTTTCACCTCACTGAGATGTCTGTTCTTTCTCTCCAGCATCTTGTCCTTGCATCTGAAGTGTCTCTGTTGTTTTGTCAGATGCGTTTTTCCTTCTCTTGGATTTGTTTGTCTTTTTCCATCAGTTCGGCATTGCTCTCTCCATTAAAAGACTTCTCTTTGTCTTTAAGAAGTTGGGTCAGATTCCTGGATACTCTGTAGAAACACAATTAATTTAACATTTTCGCACTCCAGACTGATCATCACCTGTAATTGATTATTACATGTTTTTACAGCTCTTGTAAATTCAGTACTCAGTACAAGCTCCTTTGCTGCTGAAACCTCCAAGTCTCAATTCGTTCAGCTGGTGGTTATGTGAACCAGACAACTCAAGAGTTTAATATGCCTCTGACGTTAAAAATACACTGTCTGATTCCTGAAATACATTGAGTTTTGAAATTACATTTGGTCTAAATCCTTTATTCTAATTTATCCATGGTGGAGTGATGTACTCAGAGAGAGCGAGGCCAATTATGCTCTCTTGGACGCCCGTCTATGGATGGCTGTAGCATCACCAGCGATCTCCTGATGACAGAGCAACGCTTAGACGGTTGAGCCACTCGGGAGCTACAGAGTTTCAAATAGTAAATTAAATCGCTCTGTTTGTGTTGCAGATTATTACAGCCCCTGATCTTTTCACCACCACTGTAAAGAAATCTGAGTCATTCAATACAATCAACTATTCCAAATCAGACCACTCTGACGTTACATCTCTGGGATTCGTCTCTTAAACAGTTCAGATACTTTAACTAGAATAAAGACATCAAGTGTAAAAACTGATTGAAACTATATCAGCAAAGTATTAAATCATCTCATCCTCTAAAACAGACCTTTAACAGAACAGAGTGATGATGTTAAACAGTTATCAGAGAAAGAATCTGTAAAACTGCAGCAGAGAGATCTGAATGATTTCTATCAAAACCAGTGAACACAGAGGTCTGTGATGTGATAGTTTAATAACACTGCATTATATAAATACTAAAAACTAATCTGTTTCATTATAATACAAATGAGAGAGCTTTGAGAAACCTGATCACATTATAATATTAGAATATAACAGGTTTAACAGTCACTGATTTTAATCCTGTATCTCTTTTAAACTCACCGGTCAGCAGAGCAGAATCCTTCATTTTCAGTCTCTCCTCTTCTGTCCATTTTCTGTAACTCTGAATAAAACAGTGTGAAGATTTCATACATGATGTCCAGGGTTGGGTCACTTACTTTAATAATGTATTCCGTTACAGATTCATGATTAGTTGTTGAAAACTAACTGTAAACCTAATCAGACTGGTTTACTATATATAAAGTGATGTAATCTGATCTACTTCTGCTACTTGTGGATTACTGGTCCTTTTATTAAGGACAAATAATTAATAAAGAAAAGAGAAAATATTTCAACAAGAATGAATAACTCATGCCAAAACACTTGCACTGTTTATGAAACAGAGTGATGGATTATAGTGACTTAATATCTAATATCGTGCCTCACAGAAACTTCACTGATCTCACATTTAGTGAACAGTCAAACTCTAAGAGAGCTCGTATATGAAAATATTTCAAATATTAAAATGACAATTTGTTATATTACATATAATTAGTTGAGTTTTAGTACAGGTGTACTCAAAGCTCTGAGGTCAGAATCAGCTTCACTTCAGATAATAAAATAATATATGATTTAACTCAGGATAAATACTCAAATAATAAAAACCTCTCAGCTTGCTGTGCAGTCTGCTTCAGCAGATCATATGAGAAAGTCTATGAGCACTATGAGTTAAAGGCATTAATCGTGAAGAGCTGATCAGCTAGTGTTACAAATACGCGTCATTAACACACTAACTACATATTACACTTTACATCACCCATCATCAAAAATACCACTGAAGAAAGAAAATGAAACGAACTTTACGATGCTCAGAGAGACTTCGCTCTGACTCACCTTTCAGACTGTTAGTAATAACCTGTCACGGTTAAGGTTAGCATAAGGTTCTCAAACCTGTAGAATTTTACTAGAGCAGGCCATTGAGAAGAAAGAGTTTACTGCTGTGTGTGGAGATCCAGAGCTAGAGTCGCGGTGATTCAGATGTCTCCGGAGCTCTGTCTGCGCTGCGGTATCTCAGCTTTCTGACATACAAATAAGTGTTACTAAATTTGCTTTTCGAGGGGCTGAATAAAAAACTAGTGAACTGACTGCTGGTGACAGGGACGTCAGAGATCTCTCCCAGCAGCCGGATCGCTCCCTTGACCTCCAAATATGCAGCTCTGTTCAATCTCACACACTCATGTCATATTTAACATTAAACAGTGCTTTGGAAATAAAGTCTTCGAGTTGAAACATAATCTAATTACTGTCTCTTAGTTCTGTTACTGTATACTGATTACATGGTTGTATCCTTGATTAGTGTTCGTGATAATGCCAATAGTATGTATTGGAACCGTGTGCTCTGTGCACCAACCTTGTGCTATGATGTCATACTGTCTGTTATGTGCTCAATAACTGTGTTTCTCTGTTGATGTCTGTCGACTGCTGAGAATTTAAACTCATGGGGATTAGTATCAGATTTATGCATAGATATATAAACTGATACATCATGTTGTTTGCAGTTATGTGTGACTTGTACCGTGTCAGACTGGCGACGCTGTGTCTGTGATCATTGACACAGATCGTAATATTAATAATGTCTATATGAGCAACTATTTTCTTCTATCTTACAAGGTAGTTCAGCTCTGCAGCTTCTGAGGATCATGATCACTTACAGAACACTGATCAGCATCAACACCTGTACTACCACTCAACTCTAACACCGATGAAATGAGGAAATTCATACAGATATTATGAAGAAATAATTAATAACGTAATGTATAGATCTTATTCACACTATCAGCCCTGCACAGCTTGACACTTACTACCTAATGTTATATTCATAGATGATCACATTAGGTATATTTAGTGGTCTGTTTAAATTTTTTGGTGCTCACCTGAGTGAACGTAGCATTAGACTGTCTGAACTCGAGAGACTCTTGTGATTCTAGAGACAAATACAACATTTAAATAATAGTACATAATAAGACAAACATGTATATCAGTATTTGCTCTGTAGTACAGACACTGAATTGATGTGTAGATCGTTAAAGGGCCACATAACACGAAACGAGACATTGTTGTTGTCACATAAAAGTTTGACTTTAGTATAAACAGTGTTGAAGTTCAAAAGTGTCGCTGTGTGCAGTCTTCAGTCATACTCGTCTTATACGGAAACTAAGCTGTAAATGAGCCACAGCCTGTTTAAGTTCACTGTAGTGATGTCAGGAAAACAACACATTATGACTAAAATCACTCTCCATTCAGGAACCAACAGCAGTTTTAGCCCGCCCATTCACACTGAAGGTATACGGATGTGTTTCAGCCTGCTCTGCTTTTTATAATGAGATACAGGACAACCATCGGAGCTCATTTAGCAGATTTTTGTCTCACACAAATGTTATAAGGATGGATCAAACGAGAAATATAAGAATTTCTTGAAATATACAGTATAGACTCTCTAAGACCTCTAATGCTGTTATTCTCTATTTACAGTTCAGAGCCTTTAAACACTGTGTATAATATAATCGCTTGCTCCTCTTCTCAGATCATTTCTATGGTTAATATTCGAGAGTTTTCGAGGAAAAAATGGGATGAGCACTAAAAACTGAAACTGCACATTGACAGAGATTCGTCTCAACGTTTCAGAGTCTTGAACAGTGCTGCTCTCTGTAGTCTTCATCAGAAGTAGTCCTGATTCTCTCTGCTCTCTCTGACTGTCTGGAACCTG